ACCCCCCACCCCCCCCACCCCCCCCCGAGCGAATTCCCTGGGGAAATGGATGAACTCATGGTGCCAAGCGAGGCATTAAGTGGCATCTGGACGCTGGGACAATAACTACCAGCTTGGTCTGGCACTGAGAAGGTTCTCCACTCTAGTTATGTGATGCTGTTTCCAGATGGAGGAGGTCAGCATTCCTGGGGAACAGCCACGCTGCAAGAGGCTAAATGACAAAGGCACACCTGAACCAGCAGGTCCCTGCCAGCACCTGTTGCAGCCAAGCCTGCCCTGCGGCGGCAGCTTGCCTGAGGTGACTGCTTTCAAAGAACCCCTGAGACCCTTCATCGAGCGTCCTCGACACTTGTAGGCAAGGGAGCAGTCACACCATGGTGCCTCAGTCCAGCCAAAGCAGGGCTGAGGAGGGGAGCGACCTTGCCATTCCCATGTCAGGTTTCCGTCTTCACTGCGGGTCTCTGCAGGGCACTTCAGTTGTGATTTCACACTACAATGCAGCTGGGGGCAGTACCAGCCTATGGTACGCCCACCTCCCAAGCAAGACAGGACGGTGCCAACAGCCACGCATGTGGCGGCATGCTCTGACCTGGATTGGGGGGAGAGTGGGATAGCCAGCTCCGTCACCGCTTACCAAGGAGGCAGCGTGCAAAAGGCTGGCTGCCCCACAGAGAGGGCACAACCGCACAGGGGCAGGAAGGAGATGCAGGGTGGTGGGGGTGGAAGAAGTGCTTTTATCTGGTGTTGCTCCTGGGCGTTGTACTGTGAGGCCACAGCCTTGACATTTCAGCTCTGCTCTTCCGCCCGTAGCCTGGTAAGTATTACCTCATTAAACTGCTAAAGCTTCTGTTTGCTAAGGCCAGCCTGGGGAGCTGCCATGCTCCTGCTGCTGCCTGCAGGCTTCTTACCCTTGTTGAGTAGAAGTGGCCGTTGAAAGAGAATCGCAATTGGGAAGTGCTGAACAGGAGCACAGCAGGAGCCTTTCAGCGTTTGGGTTGAAATGCATGGGAGTGCTGGCGTGGGAGGAGTCCTGTGGGTGAGGCTGAGATGGTCTCTCAAGCCAGGACATGGAGGGACCTGCCATCGATGTATTTGGGCCCATTTCTGGAGCTAGTGTCTCCATAGCAGAGGTGTCTGTGCAAACACGCTGGTAGTGCAACAGACAGATGAGTTGTTTAGGTCTCCCTTGACTTAATGCCACAAGGCAGTGGGCAAGGAGCTTTCATGGGGTCGTAGTCTCTCCTCTGGCAAAGCGTGAGGGACAGCCTGAGAACTTCTTTCTTAAACCCTGCAGGCTCCATCACAAACACACGTCCCTTTTTAGTCCTTGTTCTGAAGCACAACTGATGTGTCTGAACATCTTGCTTCTGCAGATCCTGCTCATCTCGGATTATTTCTATGCCTTCCTCCGGCGGGAGTACTACCTCACTCACGGACTCCATTTGACAAGGCAAGATGGGACAGAGGCCATGCTTGTTTTGAAGTAAGGATTGTGCCCACCGTTCCCTGGGACATGGACCAGCCTGAGGACCATGCAGAGCTTGGGGTACATGGGGTGGGTGGGGAAGGTTCCCTGAATGCGGTCTGACTTTGGGAATGATACCTACTGAAAGAAAGGGCTGAGGTTCTTCTGGGAATACCGTCCTGAGCGGTGGGCTCAGTACAGAGACTGTGAGAGCTACACGTAGGAGCTGCAGTGCCTCTGTCAGAGCATTTCCCTTCTCCCCTCAGCTGTGCGTTTCACTGCGACCTCAGCCCCCTGCTCTGGGCAGCCCAGCAGGAACTGGAGAAAGCGAGCTGAAACCAGGGCTGAATCTCTGGACCGGAAAGAGCTTGGACCATAAACTGTTTACTGTCACTGCTTCTCGGAGACGGTTGCTTCTCTCAGACATTTCCCCTTTGCTGCTTTGACCAGCAATGCTCCTGCTTGGCACAAGGGAATCTCTGGGTGCCTGGTGCCTAAGCCCCAGCTGTGGATGCCCTTTCTTGGTTCGCCTGCTGCTGCGGGATCTGGAGGAATCCTGTGTGTTCAGGCACAGTGGGTGCTTGCGAAATGGGCGGGTGACCACGGACGAGTGTCATGTTGGAGGGAGGGCAGCTGAAGCTACTGCCCCGGGTCTCAATCCTGGCACTCAAACCCTAGTAAGGCCTGGAACTGGGGTGAAAGCGGGAGCAGGGTCGGTGCTGGGTAACGGCTGTATCCCCTCAAAGCAACAGGGATGCTTTTGTGGCGGGAGCTGCACAGAGGCATCACAGGGTCTCAGAAGGAGGAACGCTGCTGCTGCAATGCTGCTCCTTGCTGCAGGGTGACAAAGCCATAGTGCTACAGTGCAGGGCTTGCGCTGTACCCTTGTGGTTGCAGCTTGGGCTTGGAGCAAGCAAGCTGCCTGCCTGGGCTAGGGACGAGGAGGTGTCAGAACCTCCCCTTTAAGGCCCAGACCAAATCCAGAAGGAGCTGCAGCCACTGCTGTTGTGGAGTTGTTGGGTTCCAGGCGTTCCACAGCCGCTTAATGCTTCACATGTTACCCCTCTGCCAGCACAGCAGTGGTACCTTGTGGCTGTGCGGGGAGGACTCACTGCCCCTTGGTTCCCCCAGCTCCTCTCTGTGCTCAGCCCCACTCACGGCAGGGGGGGTGGTCGCCCTCGGAATGG